ATAGAGACTCTGCCATCAGACAGACCCAAGTGCAAATCATGAATCTCACGCCTCTTAGCTGGGCATCTGTGGCTGGCAGCCATGTTGAGCTCGGTTTCTTCACCTGCGAAAGAAGGGCGTAATGATGCTTCCTTTGTATTCCTATACGGAGTGCCAAGAATGGGTATGTAGCACCCAGCAAATGCCTGCTGCTTAGCAGGTCTGTAAGCTGTCATAGCGCCTTAATGTGGTAGGTTTCTAATTTTCTCTTTGATTCCTCGAAATTTTGGCCCTGAAAGGGCACAGGCTATAACAAATAGAGCTTTTGAACCAAAAGGGACCTCTGGACCGTGAAGTTGATTGTCCTTGGGTCAAACAACCAGTTAGGATCAGACTGAGGTTTGGGCTCATGGCTCTTGGCTATTGCAAGGCTGGAAGGCTGGGGAGGGGCGACCTAAGAGGACTCTGGATGAGGACTTGGCAGCATAGCTAGTGCTTTGATGGCCAGGGAGTCATCGTGGGGCCCCGGGAGCTGCAGCCCTAGCAGAACGGGAAGGTTTGGAGAGCAGGTGTGTCTGTCCAGTGTCTCTTGAGAAGGGTTGAATTCAACCCTTATTATCCCCAGTCCAGAGCTCACAGACCTGTTCCCTTGATAATGTCGCAATTTCCTGGCCGGGGTCCTCTCTACCTGGACCAGCTTTATCCTGACGGCCCGCAGAGCACTGTTTCCCCAAGTGTGTTCTCGGAGCACTTGCCCTTGAAGTTAGCTTGTGAAACAAAATTATGAGTCAGAGCACACCTGCGTGCCCCTTGGAGTGTCACGTCATGGGCTTGGAGAAGTCTCGTGAGGTAGAGGAATTGGTCCAGCTGCTCTTGGCTGTGCTCACTTTGAGCAGCGGGCCTAGATGTCAAGCCTGCCCAAGAGTGTGACCTTGGGCAAGGACTTCACCACTTTGTGCTTCAGTCTCCTCATCTCTGCACTGGTGATTGTAATCCAGCACGGCCCTTCGGGATAGGTCTTCTCACTGACCCCACTTTATAGCATTTCCTGGAAGGACACTGGTGACCACAAGCTATGTGCTGGCCCTACCTCCTGGTGCCCAGGGGCCTTGTGCAAACACGAATCAGGAGGAAAGGAAGAGCTGCCCTAGCGTGTGGCCTGGAGGGGAGAGGACTCCAAGGGCCATTCATTGTGTGCCTGCCACAGGGAATGCGTGCTCCCCCTCTGGGTCTCTCCCTGTCTCTGCCAGGGCAAGAGAAGCCGGGGGTGGGGGGGTTAAGGAATCAGGTAGGCATTGGATTGCAGTGCCAGGACCTCCTTCTCAAAGTGGGAAGCTGGGGTGTCCCCGGCTCACAGCGGCAGTGACCGTGCTAGTCTGTGAATCACAGCAGCCAACACTGCCTTCCTGGGACTTCAGGGCTGTGGAGCGCCTGGAGGGCCGCCTCTGTGGTTCCAGTGAGAAGGGCTGTGTTTGTGCTGTGATGCCGCAGTTCCTGGAGCCCTGCAGAGAACACTGATCTTCCTGTGACCTGCCTGGGGGTCAGGCAAGGTCAGCCTCCCGCAGGACCATGGAAATTCCACAGCCTTTCTGTGCACAGCAGGGAGCAGATCAAGAGAGTGTCCTTTTTTGAAATGCTTCTTGAGTGGGTGGAACCTTTGCTCTGGGCACATGGAGGAGGAGACTTGGGGCCTACCCTGTGATACAGGGGTGTCCCAGCACTCTGGGTGGAAGGCTCAAGGGATGTGCAGCTGGGGTATAGAGCTCTGCCTCCAGTGGCTGGAGAGAGCATCTAGTTTGTCTATTCCTGGGGCTTCTCACACCTTAATATGCACACAAATCACCTGGAGAGCTATTAAAATGCAGAGTCTGATTCAGAAGGTCCAGGGTGGGGCCGGAGATTCTGCATTTCTGCCAGGTGATGCCTGTGCCGGACAGATCATGCTTTGAGAAGCAAGGATCTGGTCCATTGCTCCGTCTCCAGGCAGTCCCTCCCTGAAGACGTGCCTGGTTTTAAAGATGGAAATTCCCAGCTCTCCAGCAGTTGGGAAGGGTCGAGAAGAGGAAAGGTTCACTGTGCCAGGACAGCCAGGTGGAGAAAACTCAGTTCAGGCCTCTCCGAGTTGCCACGGTTCAGTCTGGGCACTAATTGCTAAAGCTGATTGTTGGCATGTTCGCTCCCAAGGCACCCACAAGCGCTGTCAGTTTGGGGTTGAGTTGTGGCGGCCAGAGCAGCATCCTGCTAGACGTCTGGGGTACAGTGTGTGTGTTGCCCACCCGAGTGTGGGCTTTCCCTCACACCCGCGGGTCCGGCTGTGAGGGGTGAGGCTTTCCAAAGTCCAGGATGGCAACTCAGCCAAACCACCTTCCTGCAAAATTAGAGGCTCATGGCGGAGCCAGGGCTGCACTGTGCTGATGCTCCAGGAAGCCAGCTGCCGGTCACGCCCTGTGGACTGCTGCAAGTCAGCCAGCAGCAAAACTGCCAGCCTGATTTTCCATAGGGACCTGGGTGGGCCTTTCCACACAGAGAGTCCAACTTGAAAGGAGTGGGCTCGAGGCCTGATCGCTGAGTGGGGAGAGACGTGTGGCACTGTGCTATGCCACCCTCCGGTGGTACTTCTTGAGAATTCTAGCAGATGAAATTGGAAGTAGTTCCTTTTCTCACCATACTGTCTGGGTTTTTACAGCTCCTACTGTCAGGCACTTTTTCCTTGAGAAGTGCTTTTTGTGTTGTTCCATCATTCAGGGGAGAACCCGGAATAAACTTTTATCATGAGCATCTTCAGATTAAATGAAGGGCTTAGCATGGTGCCCAGCACACAGTAGGTCCCCAGAGAACTCTCATGGTTATTACAGTTGTTTTTGCTTCTATTGCGTAGTAAGTGCATCCTCTGTCAGGAATTGAGCTAGGTGCCTGGGGTAAAATAAGACTGTTTGTTTGACAGCATGGAGGAGAGAGAAGGAAAATTCAGTTATCTTCTGACAGTGTATGCCCACGTCTGGTCTATGAGTTGCCTGCAAACCCCCTGAGGGCAGGAACTGAGTCATATAAATACAAGTGCACATATGTGTTGGGAGGGCCCTTTCCATTTGGTTTGGTTGGGGGTGGCTGTGTGGGACTGTTGTAGGTGCAAATACATTTTGCTGCTTTTTTGGGTAATTTATTAGACGCTATAGAGGAACTCTGAGTGAAGGGAAGGGGTTGGATTTGGTGACACAATAATGTTTGAGTCATTTCTGGATTTCAGTTATTCATGCCGCCCCGGTCTCCCCTGACCAGTGGATCACAAGGATTTGTTCCCGATGAGCACTTGTTTGCGAGGTGGATGAGTCAGGCAGGGGATGGGACAGCTTCAAAAGCATGGCTGCTTGCAGATGGAATTTGCTCTGTTTTTGGCAGTATTTGGTGCCTGTCTTTGGGGCATAATGTCTGATTGCCAATTTGGAAGTGTAATTGGCAGTCCAGCTCCAGAATGGATATATTCAACGTTGTCAAGCCGAACCTCTAAAACTTCTCCCTATAAGCTCTCATTACTTGTATGACCAGTGCTCCTTTACGTGGTCCCAAAGCGAAATTATTTAAAACATCTCATTTACTTCATATTCTCTATGCTCTTTCATGGGCTTCCCTACCAGGTTTCCTCGGGGACCGGACCCAGGTGACGCCGGCCTTTTCAAAGGCACAGGAATGCCTGTGTTTTTTCTCTCCTTCCTTCTCCTCTTCTGCCTTTCTTGGATGTCCCTGCTTCCCTAGTGATTCCTGCCAAGTCTAGGAGCAGAGGGACTGAAGTTTGCAGGTTAGTTGATCTTGCAGGCATAGAAGCATGTGGAATTTGGATGTCATGGTAGTGGAAAGGTGGTTTGGGGCCGGGGTCCTACCTCCTCCTCCGTGCCAGTGCTGGGAGCCCTTGGCCCCATCTCCAGAGAGGGCAGGGATGCTCATGATCTTCTCAGGCCACTGTTCCATTGTGCACAAACCCACCTTAGAATGAATGGAAAGGTCTTTCTCCTTGTATTAGTCCCTCTTTGCTTCTGAGCTGTTTCCAAGATACACAGAACATGTGTTGGTGGGGGATAAATTTCAAATTCCAAATCTGGCCCAGGAATGTGCAGAGCTGGTGGGGTTTAGATGTCAGCAGTGTTCTTGAGATGTAGAATGCCCACCTGTGTTGCTCCCGTGCAGGGACCCCACTTTCTTTTTCTCTCTCATGACTTCTGGTGTCCTTCTACCCCAGAGGCCTTGAGATTTCCCCCTGCCCCATGCCCCAGAGTTTGCACAACAGCCCAACCTGGATATTAGTTCTGGTGCTTTACCCTGTGTGATGTATTGGGTCTTGTCAGAAGCAGTGGGTGAGGATTTGGCCGTCTCTGAGCCATCGGGTCACTTCTTTGTCACTAGAATCTGCCCAGTGTTTCTAGAGTTTAGCTCCATTCAGAGTTAGCACTGGGCTTGGCTGAGAGCAGATGTGACTTGGGGAGGATGCCAGGGATCCAGATGCAGAGTGCGGATCCCTTGCTAAGAAGCCCCAGTTGGACTCTGCTTTCTAGTTGTTGGCTCTTCCCAAAGGAGAGAGAACAGACAGAGATCTTGAGCCTTTTTTTTTTTTGGATGATTTAAATACAGCTGCTCCTAGAATTGAGGATTATTCCTCTCCAACTGCTCATCTGATCTCTTCTCCTCTGGGCTTCTACATTCTAGTGCTGCCCCTGTTTTGCTGAACAAGAAAAGAGAGCATGCAAGAGAGGAGGGTGAGGAAGGTCAGCGGCTAGTGGGAGATGTTTACACACAGAAAAGTGGAATTTCTCTTCTGGGAGCTAGAGGTTGGCTAACTATGTGACTGGATGGGTTTTGCTTTCAGTTCCTTTACTTATTGTCTTAATGAACAAATCATGACAAGTGGCCCCACCCCCAAGGAGTGCAGCATTCTATAAAGACCAGTGGAAAGAGTGATTTCCCTTTTGGAAGATTTTAGCTTTTCTAGTGAGAAGTTCCCTCCAGTTAATTGCTAGCATGGGGCCTGTGTGGCCCAGTGGCCCAAGATGCCAGGGGTTATAAGGTTTCTTAGGGCTCTTCTTCGTGTGCCTGTTATGTGAGAGCAGAATTCTCTTCTTTGGGAGAAGTTGCCTCATTAACTTGCTTTCCCTTTTCGTGACTTTGAAAAGTAGACTTTTTGTGATTCGGGAAGGGGAAAAAGTGGACATAATAATGATTAGCAAATGGAAAACTCAGAGATAAGGGCTCCAAGGCCCTGAGGAAAGATTTGGAAGATGAAAAGATTTATACAAGTGCTGGGGATTTTCATGACCAACATTAGGAGGCAAACGCTTAATACAGTGTTTTTCTTCTTTATGCATCTGGGAGCACTTTCCCTTACGGTGCTTAGAGGAGTTGTTTTAGCTACCCGTGAGTGTGGCCATTTCTCCCATAGATTGTGGCAGCCACAGCCAGTCAGGTGGCAGGATTCTTGAAGAGGATAGGAGTGGTGTCAGAAGTCAATAATTTGCCTGTCCTAAAAAAAAATCCATTTCTTATGTTCATGTGAAACCCTGTTTTCCCTGAAAGATTTCTTTTTCAATTTGTGTTTTACACTTTTGTCCTTAATCCTAAATGTGGCTGTATTCTTTGTAGAAAATGTAGTCAGGACAGAGAGGCAATTAAAAAAAAAAAAGGACGCCTCACACCCACTGGGATGGCTACTATATCAAAAAATCCAGAAAAAAACAAGTGTTGGTGAGGATGTGGAAAAATTGGAACCTGGCTGCACTGCGTGTGGGAATGTTGAATGATGCAGCTACTATGGGAAACAGGATGGTGGTTCCTCAAAAAAAAAAATTAAAAATAGAATTACCATATGATCCAGCAATTCCACTTCTCAGTACACATCCAAAAGGAGATATTTGCACATCCCTGTTCAGAGCAGCATTATTCATCATAGCCAAAATGTGGAAGCAACCCAAATGTCCATCGATGGATAAATGGATAAACAAATGTGGTCTCTACATGCAACGGAATATTATTCAGCTTGAAAAAGAAAGGCAGTTCTGATGCATGCTACCACATGGATGAGCCTTGGGGACATTATGCTCAGTGAAATAGGCCAGTCACGAAAGGACAAGTACTGTGTGATTCTACTTACATGAGGCACCTAGAGTAGTCAGATCCATAGCGACGGAAGTAGAAGGGGGGTTACCAGGGCCTGGGGGAGAGGGGATGGGGAGTTGTTTAATGGATACAGAAGTTCAATTTTGCAAGATGAAAAGGTTCTGTGCAGCAATGTGAGTACACTTAATACTACGGTGCTGTATACTTAAAAATGGTTAAGATGGTATGTTTTATGTTACGTCTGTTTTACTGCCATTAACATTTTTTTAAAAAGGAAAAAAATCCCTCCAGACCCCGCTTCCTGGAGATGATTATCACTGTCTTTGGGCACCTTCTTCATTGTGGTGCTCGTGTGTGTCCGTGGGGCAGCTGGTATCCTTCCTCTAAGGACTGGTAAATGGCAGTCCCAGGAGACGTGCCCAGAATGGCCTTGTTTGATTTAGATGGTACCCAGAGTGAGAGCAGAACAGACTGAACAACCTACTTTCTGTCCACTGAATCTGGTTTGATGGTGTGTGAAGTTAAAGGACCACTGGAGTTTTTGATTTTGACACACAAGTAGCTGTGATACCTTAAGCAAGTCATTGCCTCTGGGCCCCAGTTTTCTCATATGTAGCATGCTCTCTGATTCAGTGATTTCAATATACAGCCATTTCTTAAATCAGATTTCAAAGGTATGATTTTTACCTGATCAAGAACCCGAGGCTAACTTACTCAAGGCCGTGGGCCCAGGGAGCAGTTCTGTTCCTCTGTGAATCACGAGAGTGAAATTTGGTTGACATGTCCCCAGAACTTCAACATTGACTTTGGTGAGGTGGCATACTTAAGAATTACAGTCTGGGGACACAGGCCCTATTGGAAATACCATCAAACTTGTCATTAAAAAAAAAAAACTCTCAGAAATAGGTTTTGGTGACTATGCTGTTACTTCTAGCGACATGGCCACGCCACTGTTGAGGTTTTAATTTTAATTTCTGGTGTCGGGGAAAGGTTGAAAATGTCTTAGATTATAGACCAGACTAGAAGCAGTGCCCTATGATAGGCTGGCTTTGTTGCGGTTGGGAATAAAAGAAACTTTGATTAAAGAGGAGGTGGTGCTCATGTACTTATACTTTGGTGCTTTCCCTTAACTTGCCCCAGAAGGCAACCCCGGAGCCAGAATGTTCATCCCAGCCCTGTTCCACGGAGCATTCCAGCCGCCCAGAGCAGGGATAAGGTGACCGCAGCTTCTGTGGCAAAGGAGAGAGTATCTGATGGGACCCCCATCGCTATCCCCAACACTGTCAGTAAGTTCTGAAATAAAATCCTTCCCCCACCCCAAATCGTAAGCAGCCAGCACATCAGAACCGTTTGAATAGTCTCCTCGGTTATATAACACCAATCAGATTATGCTCCCGGGGCCACGTATTAAATTTTAACTTGTCACAGATACATTCCATTAACACTTCCCAGATCCACAGTGTGCCAGGTAGCTTTGGGGTGTTATGGAGCGAATTGGTGATTGTGTAGGACTTGACAAGGCCCAGATGAAAATACTTCCTTAGATTTTCTAGATGGCAGTTTAACTCTTCTTGGCGGGTGCAGACATCCTGCATGTATTTCTTACAAAATCAACTGAAAATTTAGACTGTGGTTTTTCTATCTACAGTACCGAATGGTGGATTTATGGCCACGAACCAAATAAGACAGACATTTTTTAAAACTCTGGGAAGCTTTTCATTTTCCAGTGACAGGCAATGCAAGCACTATATTTTTAATTGGTCCCTTCTTTAAGTCAGGAGCTGAAATGTTATCATGCAAATCTCTCTTGAGTTGCATGGAAACTAATAAAATCACGAAGGTTTCTATTTGTACTCTATGAACACAGACTGTAATGAAACCGAAACAGCTATCTCCAGGGATGGTGCTATTTAAGTGCTAGGCAAGGCTTTAAAACGACTTTAATGCTGAAAAGAGAAGCCAGCAAGTGAGTGGTTCCGTTTTTCCTCCCTGCCTCACCAGTGCCTGTTCACCTCTGCTCCTCTTTCTGTCCCAACCTCAGAAAGAATTCATTGAAAGCAGAGACCTGTAATCACTAATGAGGCCTGTTTGCTACCTGCTTTAGGAATTTAGCAGTTGATCCCCAAACATCATTCTCTCTTAGTCTTTTCCCTCTTCGTCCTCAGACATTGCATTGATCTCTACACTAACTGGTGTTTTTGTTTTGGTCTTTCTTACCAAACTGAAGTAACTGGCCTTTTAGGAAACAGATTAATAACACATTTTTTTAGAAGTTACTATGCATCAAGCACTGTTTAAAACTCCTTATGTTACTATGTTATTTAATCCTCAAAACAGTCCTGTGGAGGAAACACTTATAGTTCCCAGTTTACAGATGAGAAGACTGAGGCAGAGGGAGTACAGTTTTCTCTCTCTCTCTTTTTTTTTGGATAACAAACATTGAATGTTTACTGTAGTAGTTTCTAAGCTGTTTATTATTTAATCCTCAAGACAACCCAGTGAAATAAGGGTTATTATCATCCTCACTTTATAGGTTAGGAAAGTGAGGCATGGAGAAGTTGAATGACTTGTCCAAGGTCACACACTTGTGAAGGGCAGAGCCAGGTGTAAATCCAGGCAGGTGAGCAGTGGAGCCCACCTGTCTAACCCCTGCACTGTTCACCTCTAGTCTTATCTCCTATAGTGGGAGAATCTCCTCGGCTCATCCCTGCCATGGAGTAAAGGGAGCTGTGAAGATCAAGGACTCAGAAGAGAAATCCATGTGTAGAGACTCACACACCATCCCTAGGGGAGATGTGAGATCCCTTGGACGAGTTCAGAGAATTCTGTACTATTGGATAGAAATGCACCCTAAAGTTTATCTAGTCCTTTTAATTTCTCTAAGTCTTGGTTTTCCTTGCTGGAAAATGGGTTCATCACCTTTTCTCTGGCTGGTAAGCAGGTGTGCTGTGTGCAGTTGTGCAGGTTGCTAACTGCACAACTGTAGGACTGCTGTGGGATTCACATCAAATAGTACATGATTGCATTTTATGAACTAGGGCGCACATACCATATCCCTGTGTTGGTGGTGGTGGGGTGGGCGGTGTGAAGGCACAGAATACATATTAGGGCATTTTTTGAGTATCAATCTTCCTTGAAATTTTGGATAAGAACACTAGTTTTAATATTAATATAAACATGGAAGGTATTAAGAGTAGGATGAAGAATTCAAGCATATTTTAAAAACCTCGAAAGATGTGTGTGTGTACGTATGTGTGTGTGCATGTGCACTCACATGCAGGAGACAGCAGAGCAGTGGAAAAGTTTGACACTCACTCGCAAAGGCTGATCATTAAGCTCAGAACTTGAGCATCCTGATGTGGAATGGTGCTGTCTTATTCCCACATGCTATTTGCTCATATCTCAAACCCTGAAACTGTGTTATTAAAAGAGTGGAAATGCTATGAAAAGCAAATAAATATCTCTGAATTCCCTGGCCTGATATAAAGAAAGTGCATTTTTGATGTCGGTGGGACAGAGAATTTAATCTGCACACTCAGAAGGTGGTAGTGGTAACTTATTCAGTGGTTATGAATCTTCCCTTGCCTTTAGAAAGATCAATTCCTTGCCCCTCTCCACCTCCACGGCTTAGAAATACATTATTGTATCACAATATGGATTTCTTTGAAGACCACTGGGCATTGTGGCCTTGTGCCTGCCAAACCCCATGCATAGAATGTTTGGAAGCAGAGATGAATTGGTCAGTCTACGAATCTTTATTTGTGTGCCTCTTCTTTTCCCAGGGACACAGGGTTGTGTAAGACATCATTTCCTCCCTGGCAGGATTGCACACTGCAGTCATGAATGATGCCCCTGGAATTGTGCAGTGCACAACCCGCATGTCCATATGTGTGACTTTCCTAGGCATCTAGCTGGGTTGGCATAATACACTCCTCACATGAGAAATTAAAAATACAGTGCAAGGCCTGTAATTCTTAACGGCCAAATAAGTAAGAGAAACACCAAGAACCTGAGATTCAGAAAAGGTGGAGAACACAGAGAATTAGTCTGAGTGAGGGTGGCCAGAGACAGCCCACTGCGAATGTGGGGGTGTGAAAGTGGACCCAGCCTGCCTGTGCCTAGGCCCAGCCCCCAGGACAGGCTGTGTCTGTGATTTCTGATCACTGTGACATGGAAGGGCCACAGGTCCCCATACTGATTCTTAGCGTGAGCCTTTGAGAAGGGGGAATGCTTGGGTGCCAGCCTGTGTGTTCCTAAGGCCCGTGGACAAGGAGTGACAGGACCCCGAGGATTTGGAAAAGTCCTCTCCTTGCACACTGTGCTATTTTTAGCTCCCTCCCACGGCCCCTGCTGTCCCCAGGTGTTTGTCAGCAGAGCATCCTGTGCTTGTACAGAAAATGGCAGTCGGAGGCCAGGCCGGCCTGTTCGGCCGCAGCAGTCTTCCCACCAGGCCTGGCGGCCGGGCTGGGGCTTAGAGGCTGGCAGGTGGCTGCGAGGGTGATTGCGTAACTGGCCTTTCTGCCGGTCGTGGTGCCTGCTGGTTCTGGGTGAGGAGGTCGAGCCAGAGTAAACATGTCTGCCGTCCACGCTCCTCCCCGAGCCCTGATGGTTTGGATAGGCTCGCGGGCCGGCGTTGCGCTGGCACTGTCAACGGCTGCTTCTGCTCTGCTGCAGAGTGCCCAGGCCTGAGCGACACACCTGTACTGGGATGTGGGGAGGTGGCCTGGCCTGGTCCAC